AACTTGTTAACAGTGTAGACTAAAGTAAAAACTTGTTAGAGTGTATATTACAGTGTAGACTAAAGTAAAAACTTGTTAGAGTGTATATTACAGTGTAGACTAAAGTAAAACCTTGTTAGAGTGTATATTACAGTGTAGACTAAAGTAAAACTTGTTAGAGTGTATATTACAGCGTAGACTAAAGTAAAACTTGTTAGAGTGTATATTACAGTGTAGACTAAAGTAAAAACTTGTTAACAGTGTAGACCAAAGTAAAAACTTGTTAACAGTGTAGACTAAAGTAAAAACTTGTTAGAGTGTATATTACAGTGTAGACTAAAGTAAAACTTGTTAGAGTGTATATTACAGTGTAGACTAAAGTAAAACTTGTCAGAGTGTATATTACAGCGTAGACTAAAGCCGAGTGACGAGCGCGCCCCCTAAGAGCAGCAGCACCTCCTCCTGATAATCATTAAGTTTTCAGTTCACTAACGTCGGGGAAAAYGATCCARACCAWACAAGTAGCCCATCAATTTAAAGCCCAGACTCTGCTCTGTCCAACAATATAAGTGTCACAGCTCTACGTGAAAAATTCACAGAACAAGCAGCSAMRGAATAGTGAAAAAGGCTAAATTCTGGAACCATAAACACRAACGTCTTTCCTTTGTTTTTATGTCTTTAATCCACTTTGGAGTGATTTTTTCCCACTTGKCTGGACCTGTACGTCTCCTGTGTTAATGTTGGTACATGTAATAAGATAATTCTGTACTGTGGASATCATTAAGAGTCGTTGTCGGGTGAAAAAATCTTTCKCTAACWCTGTGTTGACCGTGAACTGGAAGTGTTGGGAGTGGCATCCAGTGCTGGACCGGATGTCCGTGGCATATAGGCTAATGTTAGTCTGAGGCGACCTGCTGGGTAAATCATCTGGTACATACCTGCTCTGGGGTTGGCCAGTCCTGTGTGGGCGGGGTTTGTTGGCGTGCTGTGGTAGAGGGACGCCAGGTCGCTGGGTGTGCAGGAGTGCAGGAGGGTCATCATGCTCCACTCCGACTCCAGACCTCTGTCCAGAGGCGTGGACATGTTCTTTACAGGACACAGAGCCTCAGACGCTGTGGATGGACCTGGTCCTAAAGCTTTGGGTTTTATACTTCTTCCTGTGATCTGCAACATCGACGTCCCATCTCCCGCTGGTCCTCTAGGACCAGGACCAGGTTCTGCTTCCCTGCTTGTAGGAACAGAGAACCGTCTCTTGCCAGAAGGTTCACCAAAATCCACTTGAGGAAGGCTCCCAAAGCCGCTGGTCAGACAGAGCCGGGCAGCGTCGGAGTGCCAAAACGCCCCGCTTGGTGCTGGGTAAGTCCTCTCAACCAGCCCCACTCGGTCCAGAGGACTGGTTCTGTCCAGGACCAGCTGGTTTCCTGTGCTGCTTCTCCTCAGGAGTTCTGTGTACCTGGGGGGGTCCTGACTGGGATGTGGGTCAGCGTTCTGTCTGTACCGCTGTGTCTCCTGGACACTTTGTTGAGGTGCAGGAGAGGGCGAGGGCTTCGGACCCTGAGCGGACCTGACACACGTGGTCTGAGGTGTAGCGGGCTGCGGTGGCGGGGACTTGGTCCGGCGAGGATAGCTCCTGTCAGCTAGGGGGAGCGGGGCCACATCCTTCCCATTGAGTGCAGGGGGACAGCCCGTGTACCGGTTCTGTCTGACACCGCCTCCAAGCCTAGACCTTCTGGTGGTCTCTGACTTGTCTTTATGGGTCAGCTTTCTGTGCATGACCAGAACCTCTGGGTACAGGGTTCTATACGCACAGAGTGAGCAGGAAACTGGACTCAGTGCAGATTTGGTTTCTCCTCCGGCAGGAACAGAGAGGGACACATTTAAAGACAGATTTAAAGGAACCTCAGAGTTCTCGTCCTTCATGTCCTCCTCTTTCCTCAGGTTACCAGCTACTGGACACTTCGTGAGCGCATCGTCGTATTCAGTGTTCACCTGGACAAGTGGTCTGCCAAGCTTGCTACCCAAGCTGTCAAACCTGTCCTCAGGTGCTTCATTTGTGCACAGTCTGCCTTCAGGAGCCCAGAGCTTGGATCCATGTGGGGCAGGACTGTCATCGTCAGTCCTGTCATGAAGAGAAGGCAGTGAGGGTCCAGGTCTGATGGGGATCTCCATGTAAGGTCTGTCTTTGTGACGCCGATCCAGGTGATATTTCAGTGAAGTCTTCTGAGCTGCTGCATAATCACAATATTCACACTTGTAAGGCTTCTCACCTGGAAAATAGAAAACATCACCGAATTAAATCTGCTGGATAAAATCAAGATGATTTTCTTTTTGTATTGTATACATAAATACATTTGTTGAAGTAAAAGTGAGAACTGTACCTGTGTGAGTCCTCATATGTACTGTGAGGTAGTAGCTGGACCTGAATGATTTGCCACAGTAATTGCATTCTTTTGATCTGGGCTTTGATCGATCAAAATCATCTTCACCTTCAAAATAAGATCAATAAAAAGTCAACAAGACAGCGATGAATAAGAACAACAGTCACTAAAGGGATGTTTTCCCTCAGTAGAGGGTGAAACAGTAGTCGTGTTTCCATCAAGGATTTTAATGCGCATGTTGAAGTATCACATCAGAAAAGGTGGATGGAAACGGCTTGATTCGAAAAAACTTCCTCTAATTCACATCAAAGTTGATACGCTCGCTTCAGGTGGTTTTTGGGTTTTTTGAAAAAGAGTTAATGGGCAAAAAGGAGATGGAAACACATTTTTAGAATCAGGTCTGACGTAACTGATTCGCTTCAAGCCAGTTCATGGAAACACGTCTGATTCGCATTTCTTCGTTTTTACATTTTTGCGCATTTTTTAAAATTCGCTSAAAATTTGAATTAAAATTGAATGGAAACATGGCTAGTGAGCTAAATCACAGCTGATTTACCTGTAATTAAGTTTTCCTCTTTGTGTCCCTCCTCTGCTGCGTCCATYGAGTCCATTCTTGACATCTTCACGTCAAAGGAAGAAGTCGGRCTTTCTCCATCTGGTCTTTCCCGTTTGTGGACCCTGGAGTGCAGAACTAGCTGATGGTAGGTCCTGAATGTTCTCTGACATTCCTCACACGTGGTTGGCCGTTCTTTGTCTTTTTGCATTAGTGATCTCTTTGGTGGGATCKGACTTTCCACAGCAGCCTGTTGCTGAGACCGGGGGTCTCTCCCCAGGACCTCATTCACAGCTTTGTCTCCCTGACCCTCAGACCAGATAATACTCATCTCTTCCTTATCAGAGCCACAGTCCTCATTGTCTGTGCTGACTTCCTGTCCAGGATCTTTAGTACTATGGAGACCAACTGCTATTTTGCCCTTTGTTGCAAGCTGCCACGCCTGGTACGTGTTAAAGGGATCCAGCTGGGGGATCCATTTGGATGATTGGCCATTTCTCAAACTGCTACCAGTAGAGGCAGGCTGAAGGTTCAAACTGCACAGAAAGCTCTCCTGATCTACAGCACCATCCAGGGCTTCATCTTTTCCCTGCTCAGTCTCTCGATTATGTACTTTACTGTGTTCTGCCAAACTGCTGTGGTCCGGGAAGAAGAACCCACAAACCATACACATTTTGTAAACAGTGGGAACAGGTTCTGAGGCAGGTTCCTGAGTGACACCATTGATGGTAAAGGGGGACTCCAGGTCTTGCAGAGCCTTACTTTTTGGTCCTGGTCTTACRTGCATCTTCATGTGATTCTTGAGAAACCAGGACTCTCTGAAGCGCCGTCCACAGACACTGCAACAGTATGTAAAGTAGTCTTTGTGCTTCCTCATGTGAGCCTCCAGCTCACCGGCATCTTGAGCGGTCTGACCACACACGATGCATCTGAGAACCTCCTCTCCTTCTGTGGCCAGGCTGCCTGGTCTGGGTCCAGGCTTTTCTCCAGGAATCTTGAACTCTGCTTCAATCCGAAGCACTGTCGGCTCAAAGAATGTAGTGGGGTGCTGTGTCAGCACGTGGGGGCCTAGCTCATCCTGATTATTGAAAGTCTGGTCACAGAACATACAGGAGAGTGGTGCACCCTCTYCACACTGCAGCACCATCTTCTCTGTGTAGCTACTGTGTGGTGTTAGGCTGGAACAAGGTCCTGGGATGCTTGCATTGTTACTAACCAGGACATCTGGGGCAGTTCCATCTGGGCTGTCCACAAACGGCAGCAACGAGTGAGTTGGCATCTTTCTTCAATGTTTATCGTGCTATCCAGTCAACAAACCTAAAGAAAAGACAAGAATGAGTGTTTGTATAACTCTTCTCACTCCCGACTCGTCACATTCTGACGCTTTTCCCAAGGTTCCCTCTGCATCTTGTTTTGACGCGTCGGGTACCCCTTCGCATCAATTATTGACGCAACAGGCATTTCCATGTTCCCTTGGCATCCAGGTTTGACGCGTTGGGACGCAAAATATAGGGGTCTTTGACTTGGGGTCCGTGGTTAATATTTGGGATCAGAGTTAATGGTTAATTGTAGGTATTGGGGTCAGAGATAGGATGTCTAGGGAGAATATTAGGTAATTTTAGGCTTTGGAACATGAAGTTGACATGAATTTCCTACATTTTCTAAAAATGGTTAATTTTAGGTACTGGGTCAGGGACAGGATGTCTAAAGTGAATAAAGGTAATTTTAGGCGTTGGGACGGTAGTTTTTGTACATTTTCTACACTTTCTGAAATTATGAAAAYGGATTCCGCCCCATCTCGTCAATAAGTGACGCGCGGGGAGTACCCGACGTGTCAAAATCGGACGCAGAGGGAACCTTGGAAAAGCGTCAATATGTGACGACTTGGGAGTGAGAATGGGTTGGTTTGTAAGCTGTGCTTSATTTTAAAAAGAGACATATCATCCTTATATTTCACATAAAATCATTCAATGGGGTTAACATAAAGTAGAACTGCAATGATTTTGTCTCCATATTGTAACTCCACAARCCCCTCTTTTCTGAGGTGTGTCTCAGATCAACTCGTTTAGAGGCTGTCTCTTAAAAACAAGGTGCTTCTCACCCCGCCACCCTGCAGCTTCTAAACCCGTTCCTTTTAGTTTGATAGAGGGGTTTATGGCTATATAGCTGCGCAGAAACTTTTTATTAACAAATGTATAAAAATATGTGAACAAGTGAAGACCTGTTCATCCAGAACCAGAGTCTGAACCAGAGTCTGACCCAGAACCAGAGTCTGACCCAAAACCAGAGTCTGACCCAGAACCAGAGGAAATGAAGACCACCAAACTGTAATTGTTAAGTCCAGATTGTCTGTTCCGTCACAAAATACTGTGATGTAATAGTTTAGAAAATGTCTTAGGAAGTAGAGAAAACTAAACGCACTGTAAAAAATGACCAACAGAACAGACATCTAGGCCAGTGATTCCCAACCAGGGGCCAGCATATTACAGGGGGTACATGAAAAAATGTCCCAGGTGTGTAAAATAATAAATTAAAATAGGACTGAGATTTGTAGGCCCTGTGATTTCAGCARTGTGGAAAATGCAGACAGAATCACAGAATTAACACAAAATAGAATCCAGTAAAAAACACAGAATCTCCTGGAGTTTCTGATGTATTTTGGACGCTGCAGCTTCCTTCACCTGCCATTACCTGCTTTATTTATTTAATTACTTATTCACTTTTTATCTTTATGTTTAATTTGATTTGAAAAAAAATACCTGAGAATCAAATGTTC